AGCTCCATACCCTCTAGACCCCATATTTAAACTATCACAAGCTCCATACCCTCTATACCCCATATTTAAATTATCACAAGCTCCATACCCTCTATACCCCATCATTTAAACTATCACAAGCTCCATACCCTCTAGACCCCATATTTAAACTATCACAAGCTCCATACTCTCTAGACTCCATGTTTAAACTATCACAAGCTCCATACCCTCTAGACCCCATATTTAAATTATCACAAGCTCCATACCCTCTATACCCCATCATTTAAACTATCACAAGCTCCATACCCTCTATATCCCATATTTAAACTATCACAAGCTCCATACCCTCTATATCCCATATTTAAACTATCATAAGCTCCATACCCTCTATACACCATATTTAAACTATCACAAGCACTATTCCCTCTATACTGAAAAAAATGGAAAACAGTTTATCAGTGCCGATGTTTAGGTTCTAGGTCATAAGTTTGACAGTTGGAAGTTAAGCCCAAACTAAGTTAGTAGTTTATACATTTATAAATGACGGATAGATTGTTTTCGTCACATCACATAAATAATTCAACCGGATTAGAATTTGGGCAAATATTTTTCCTCTGATTACACGTGGTCTCAGACAACCCTTACTAACGTAACATAACTTGCTTTGAAGATAACCACTTTCACATAAGGTTAATGAACACCCACTGTGTGTTGTATCTTTCTGAGGGTTATGGCCAGTTATTGTGTATCGTACTCCCCATAAAGTAAATGAGCACCGACTGTAGAGAACCGACCAGCCGGCGACATCTTTTACCGCCTGTAACTTTTTGCTGGTAAACGATGTAAATCGCTTTCCATAATAGCGCCGGAGAGTCGGGACATATGACATACTACAAATATAACCATGAATGATGATTCAACAGAGATATTACCATACATATGTCAGCTAATTAGATGGAAACAACAACAACCTGATTATTTAACTGCTCTGTAAAATTATTAATATTATTTAGTCAAACTCCCAGTATTTATAGAAAGTCTGCTACTTGCTATACAGTCATACATTCCAACATTTTATAGACAGTCTGTTACTCACTGTACAGTCACACCCCCCAATGTTTATGGACATTCTGGTACTCACTGTACAGTCACACATCCCAAAATTTATAGACATTCTGCTATTCACTGTACAGTGACACATCCTATGATTTATAGACTGTCTGTTACTCACAGTGAGACATCCTATGATTTATAGGCAATCTGTTACTCCACAGTGAGACATCCTATGATTTATAGACTGTCTGTTTCTCGCAGTGACACATCCTATGATTTATAGACTGTCTGTTACTCACAGTGACACATCCTATGATTTATAGGCAGTCTGTTACTCGCAGTGACACATCCTATAATTTATAGACTGTCTGTTACTCACAGTGAGACATCCTATGATTTATAGACTGTCTGTTACTCACAGTGAGACATCCTATGATTTATAGGCAGTCTGTTACTCGCAGTAACACATCCTATGATTTATAGACTGTCTGTTACTCACAGTGAGACATCCTATGATTTATAGGCAGTCTGTTTCTCCCTAGGATGTGTCACTGTGAGTAGAAGACTGGCTATAAATGTTGGTATATGTGACTGTACATTGAGTAACAGACAGTCTATAAATCATAGGATGTGTCACTGCGAGTAACAGACTGCCTATAAATCATAGGATGTGTCACTGTGAGTAGAAGACTGGCTATAAATGTTGGTATATGTGACTGTACATTGAGTAACAGACTGCCTATAAATCATAATTTATAGGCAGTCTGTTAGTCGCAGTGACACATCCTATCGCATCGCCCTCTATGATAATGTACTGTTTCGATTATTTAGAATAATAAAAACTGTGAAGATATATAGTAAAGTTCTGACAACAAGAGCTTTAAGAACATCTTACTTCTGCATTTTCAATATTTCTTCTCTGGGTGTAGTTTTGTATAAATATTTACTGATGACAACCTCTCTTAATTTACTGTTGTTTATCCAACTTTTACTGCACTAGTGACTCTCTGGGAATAAACTCAGCAGTTTGTCACTGACACATGCAGTGGCTAACGTACAGACTATCCATACCATGAACGCCACGCGCACTGATACAGGATCTTAACAACTTAACATCAGTTTACTGTAGAATGATACAGGATGCTAATAACCTAACATAAGAGTTTACTGTGGAAGGGTACAGGATGCTAATAACCTAACATAAGAGTTTACTGTGGAAGGGTACAGGATACTAATAACATAACATACATTTACTGTGGAACGGTACAGGATGCTAATAACCTAACATAAGAGTTTACTGTGGAAGGGTACAGGATGCTAATAACCTACATATGGGTTTACTGTGAAATAGTACAAGATGTTAATATCCTACACATGGGTTTACTGGGGAATTGTACAGGATGTTAATATCCTACACATGGGTTTACTGGGGAATTGTACAGAATGCTAATAACCTACACATGGGTTTACTGTGGAATGATACAGGATGCTAATAACCTACACATGGGTTTACTGTGAAATGGTACAGGATACTAATAACCTACACATGGGTTTACTATGGAATGGTACAGGATGCTAATAACCTACACATGGGTTTACTGTGGAATGGTACAGGATGCTAATAACCTAACATAAGAGTTTACTATGGAATGGTAAAGGATGCAAATATCCTATACATGGGTTTACTGTGGAATGGTAAAGGATGCAAATATCCTACACATAGGTTTACTGGGGAATTGTACAGGATGTTAATATCCTATACATGGGTTTACTTTGGAATGGTAAAGGATGCAAATATCCTACACATGGGTTTACTGTGGAATGATACAGGATGCTAATAACCTACACATGGGTTTACTGTGGAATGGTACAGGATACAAATAACTTACACGTGGGTTAATCATAGAATATTACAGGATGCTAATAGCCTAACATCAGTTTACTATGGAGCGATACAGGATGATAATAACCTAACATATGATTACTTCGTAATAGTACAGGATGTTAATAAACTACAGATAGGCTTACTGTGAAATGGTACCGGATGCTAGTATCCTAACATAGGTTTACTTTGGAATAGTACAGGTTACTCATAACCTACACAAGGGTTTACTGTAGAATGGTATAGGATGATAATAACCTAACATAAGATTACTGCGTAACAGTACAGGATGTTAATAAACTACACATGGGTTTACTGTAGAATGGCACAGAATGCTAATAGCCTTAGGTAGGTTTACTGTGGAATGGTACAGGATGTTAATAACCTAACATAGGTTTACATTTCTCTCTAACCTGGTAATGTTTTCTTAGATTTTACGTAGATTAACTTACCTCTTTCCTTGCCCAATCCTGTCTATCTCCACGTGGTAGAAATCTCTAACGAAAGACATCGCCGGTACAACTTCTATAATTGGTTTAAATAAATGTGACAATAAACGTTACTCGGATTTTCAACAGCATGAATAAGTTATACTTTATAAAACCGTTAAGAAAATGACAATTTATTTTATTAGTATGTGTGTAAAAAATAAATAAAAACAGTTAGTTTTTAAACTTTACATGCAATATCAAAGTTTATCAAGCCCCACAAACCTGGTCTTCGTAAAGTCCGGAGAAAAAGACTAATAAGAAAATCTACAAGTGAAGAAGTAAAGTGTGGTTTTAGGACAGCACACGAACTCCAGTAAATCCGGTTGGGACTTATGCTTCAGCTCACTTCTTATAATCAAATGTACGCATAAGACGTCTGCAGCGACGTTGTGAAGCCTGATAAACGCAGACTGGTTGTCAGGTGATCTCCGCATGTCTTCTTCTATTGGTCCAAAAGGCATGCACGTCACGACTGAATGTAGTGTGACTGGGATTGCTCTGTCATCACCCAGTAAGTCGTACTTCGTCCCATCAATACATATAAAGTAGAGATATCGAATAAAGGAATTGAATGGTTATGATCAGAAAGAACAATGATAATTTCTATTCTTTAGTTAATGAAGAAAGTTATTCATATTAATTGATAGTTTAAGGTCTTGTGCTAAGAAAAAAACTTGAATATGTTTATATGGGCTATTTGTTACTAGTTGTTGATTATTTAGACAGAAACTATGCTGGAAATGGCTTTGGTGGCTCAGTCATAAGTATGAGGGTTTATAAGAATAAAATATGGCGTTCGATCCCCTATGATGAGTACAGTACAAACAGCTGATTGTGTAACTTTGTTCTGAATAGTATTACTTGATGTTAAAACGGGAAAATATCAGAAATTTTAGGAAATCACCAAACTGGTTCATTTATCACACAATATTCAGAAGAAGTTCTCCATCTGGTTCTGTTAACGTCATGAGTTTATCATTTACAAGCTCTCCATCTGGGTTCTTCTGACGTCTTTAGTTTGTTATTTACAAGCTCTCCATCTGGTTCTGTTAACGTCATGAGTTTGTTATTTATAACCTCTCCATGTGGGTTCTGTTAACGTCATGAATTTATCATTTACAAGCTCTCCATCTGGGTTCTTCTGACGTCTTTAGTTTGTTATTTACAAGCTCTCCATCTGGTTCTGTTAACGTCATGAGTTT